TTCTCCTTGATATTCTTTCTAAAATTCATGTAATGAATCTCTCTGGAGGATGCGCTTGAAGTTTTCTTTTAAGAATCTTTGATTGGGAAAGTCTCTACATTCATTTTATAGTCGCATTCCTTATTTGTGTAACGTTCCTCAGAAAAAGTTTTCTAAACAGTTTTGATATTTATCCCACAAAATATTGTTTTGCTCTTGCAAGCCTTAGTGTATATGTTTAGGTTGTTCACCAGTTGTCGTTGAAAGTTTCACTTTTTATAAATTTTAAAGTCTATGTTTCTCAAAGTGCTTGAATAGTATAGCCCGGGCCACTCATCAGTATTGAGGACTAATCACGTGCTTTTAACGATCAGCTGATGGATCAATTGAATAGTAGGATGAAAATTATATCTAGCCAATTTCGAGCGTTAGCAAAAGGTCCCTCTTCTAGTTACAAGTCTATTTATTCAAGGATGGAATGTATTTTTAGTGACTTTTTGAATTCATGTTGAAGTCCTTTTCTAAGCACATCGTTCTATGTCATAAAATATGACTAAACGACTAAGAGTTACTTAGTGATGAACTTAAGTACTTGGCATAAGACTCTAATTTTGAAATAAAAAAGGAGTTTTGTCAATGAGCATCGCCCTTAACGAAATCGAGATTCCTAGTATTTTCAGGAAGATTTAGTAAATCTAAAGTAGTTATTACCAGCTAATTATCAAGATACTGGGTACTTCAGATACGCACTGATTTGCGATCATCAAATTCATGATCTCATAATCATGTGAACATTTTTATGAAAAATCCATGAAGATAAATAATTCTTATTTCCTCTCAATAGGCTGGAATGATGTGGTCCTTAACTTTTCTTGGGAATCAGCGTCATTCAATAGGTTTCTAGGTAGAATCGGTACATCGACAAATATCTCAAAGGCGCACTCGAAAATCCTTCCTTGATTGTTCAGTAACCTTAGAAAATTACTTCTCGTTCGATCATGATATGTAAGCGAAAAAAAGTGAAAAAACCCGAAAGCCTAGACATTGGCAGCCTTTAATAACGCTTTTGACTGAGATATATCGCGCGTTCTAAAGTTTCAGAAGCTTCGAAATCATATGCAGATTTAGAAGGAAAAGATTGAAACCTACATAACGCGCAGACACTAGAAAAGTTAACCCAAGCAGAGAAGGGTACTTATTCGAATCGGTGATTCAAGAAGAGATTAGGTGGACGCAGTTCCAGACGCTATTCTAAATCTGCCTTCCATGTGAAGCGTTTCTCTGGTAGTAGTTATAAAAGTTTTTCTGTGTTGAAACTAGCCTGTGCAGTTCGTCAATAAATGCTCCATAACATCAAGTTCAATCTGAAATAATAAGTAAGGTTACTTATAACCCATGAAGACATATTTTCGTTGATTTTCAGCCTTTACGCTGCTGTTTTGGGTCAAAGTTGAACATGTACGAACTTTAGTCGAGGTCTTGTAAGCTATTTTCAGAGAAAAACGTTCGTAACTTCTTTCGCAAAAATGCTTCGCAGATATGGAAGGCAAATTGAGAAGCAGCGTTTCAATTTATAATTCAGTATTTTTACTTCATTTCAAATTGCCACATCCAGGTCCTTTCCTCGTAAGAAAACCTTTGGAATTTGCGAAGCTTCTACGTGCGACAGCGTAATATTATTTTTGTTTGCATAGCATCCGAAATAGATTTGAAGCAAAAAGACAAAATACATATAGATGCTGAACTGTATACTAAATGGAAAGAAATAATGGAAGTAACTTCTTTTCTTCTTTTCACCTAGAAATTACGAAAAGCTTGAAAGCCTCGCTCAGAATCCCGTGTTGGCTTTGTTACAAAACTTTTACATACGTTATTGAAGGCTAAAGCCATAAACGATGAAGTTGGGAGGAAATTTTCAAATTGCTATATAGCTATTTCAAAAGAGTAATTGTGTTAGACTCATTAGAATATCTTGAAAATTACTCAATTAAATTGTGTCTTTTGAAATTGGAAATCATT